TCCAGTTCACTCTACTGATCCACTTCAGTCTATTGATTCAGTTCACTCTACTGAATCACTCTACTGATCCACTCTACTGAATCAGTTCACTCTACTGATCCACTCTACTGAATCAGTTAACTTTACTGAATCACTTTACTGAATCACTTTACTGATCCACTTCAGTCTACTGATCCAGTTCACTCTACTGATCCACTTCAGCCTACTGATCCACTCTACTGAATCAGTTCACTCTACTGATCCACTTCAGTCTACTGATCCACTCTTCTGAATCAGTTCACTCTACTGATCCACTTCAGTCTACTGATCCACTCTTCTGAATCAGTTCACTCTACTGATCCACTTCAGTCTTACTGATCCACTCTACTGAATCAGTTCACTCTACTGATCCACTTCAGTCTACTGATTCAGTTCACTCTACTGATCCAGTTGATTCTACTGATCCACTTCACTCTACTGATCCACTCTTCTGAATCAGTTCACTCTACTGATCCACTTCAGTCTACTGATTCAGTTAACTCTACTGAATCACTTTACTGATCCAGTTCACTCTACTGATCCACTTCAGTCTACTGATTCAGTTCACTCTACTGATCCACTCTTCTGAATCAGTTCACTCTACTGATCCACTCTGCTGAATCAGTTCACTCTACTGATCCACTTCAGCCTACTGATTCAGTTCACTCTGCTGATCCACTCTTCTGAATCAGTTCACTCTACTGATCCACTTCAGTCTACTGATCCACTCTGCTGAATCAGTTCACTCTACTGATCCACTCTTCTGAATCAGTTAACTCTTCTGATCCACTTCAGTCTACTGATTCAGTTCACTCTACTGATCCACTCTTCTGAATCAGTTCACTCTACTGATCCACTTCAGTCTACTGATCCACTCTGCTGAATCAGTTCACTCTACTGATCCACTCTTCTGAATCAGTTCACTCTACTGATCCACTCTTCTGAATCAGTTAACTCTGCTGATCCACTTCAGTCTACTGATTCAGTTCACTCTACTGATCCACTTCAGTCTTACTGATCAACTCTGCTGAATCAGTTCACTCTACTGATCCAGTTGACTCTACTGATCCACTTCAGCCTACTGATTCAGTTCACTCTACTGATCCACTTCAGCCTACTGATCCACTCTACTGATCCAGTTCACTCTACTGATCCACTTCAGCCTACTGATCCACTCTACTGAATCAGTTCACTCTACTGATCCACTTCAGTCTTACTGATCCACTCTACTGAATCAGTTCACTCTACTGATCCACTTCAGTCTACTGATTCAGTTCACTCTACTGATCCAGTTGATTCTACTGATCCACTTCAGTCTACTGATTCAGTTCACTCTACTGAATCACTTTACTGATCCAGTTCACTCTACTGATCCACTTCAGTCTACTGATCCACTCTACTGAATCAGTTCACTCTACTGATCCACTTCAGTCTGCTGATCCACTTCAGTCTGCTGATTCAGTTCACTCTACTGATTCAGTTCACTCTACTGATTCAGTTCACTCTACTGATCCACTTCAGTCTACTGATCCACTCTACTGAATCAGTTCACTCTACTGATCCACTTCAGTCTACTGATTCAGTTCACTCTACTGATCCAGTTGACTCTGCTGATCCACTTCACTCTACTGATCCACTTCACTCTACTGATTCACTTCAGTCTACTGATCCACTCTACTGAATCAGTTCACTCTACGGATCCACTTCAGCCTACTGATCCACTCTACTGAATCAGTTCACTCTACTGATCCACTTCAGTCTACTGATTCAGTTCACTCTACTGAATCACTCTACTGATCTAGTTCACTTTACGGATCCACTGCAGTCTACTGATCCACTCTACTGATCCAGTTCACTTTACGGATCCACTTCAGTCTACTGATCCAGTTCCCTCTACGGATCCACTTCAGTCTATTGATTCAGTTCACTCTACTGAATCACTTTACTGATCCAGTTCACTCTACTGATCCACTTCAGTCTATTGATTCAGTTCACTCTACTGAATCACTCTACTGATCCAGTTCACTCTACTGATCCACTTCAGTCTATTGATTCAGTTCACTCTACTGAATCACTCTACTGATCCAGTTCACTTTACGGATCCACTTCAGTCTACTGATCCAGTTCACTCTACTGATCCACTTCAGTCTATTGATTCAGTTCACTCTACTGAATCACTCTACTGATCCAGTTCACTTTACTGATCCACTTCAGTCTACTGATCCAGTTCACTCTACTGATCCACTTCAGTCTACTGATTCAGTTCACTTTACTGAATCACTTTACTGATCCAGTTCAGTATACTGATCCAGTTCACTCTACTGATCCAGTTCACTTTACTGATCCACTTTACTGATCCACTCTACTGATCCACTTCAGTCTACTGATTCAGTTCACTCCACTGATCCAGTTGATTCTACTGATCCACTTCAGTCTACTGATCCACTCTCCTGAATCAGTTCACTCTACTGATCCACTTCAGTCTACTGATTCACTTCAGTCTTCTGATTCAGTTCACTCTACTGAATCACTTTACTGATCCAGTTCACTCTACTGATTCACTTCAGTCTACTGATCCACTCTTCTGAATCAGTTCACTCTACTGATCCACTTCAGTCTATTGATTCAGTTCACTCTACTGAATCAGTTTACTGATCCAGTTCACTCTACTGATCCACTTCAGTCTACTGATCCACTCTACTTAATCAGTTCACTCTACTGATCCACTTCACTCTACTGAATCACTTTACTGATCCACTCTACTTAATCAGTTCACTCTACTGATCCACTTCACTCTACTGAATCACTTTACTGATCCACTTCAGTCTACTTATCCACTCTACTGATCCAGTTCACTCTACGGATCCACTTCAGTCTACTGATTCACTTCAGTCTATTGATTCAGTTCACTCTACTGAATCACTCTACTGATCCAGTTCACTTTACTGATCCACTTCAGTCTACTGATCCAGTTCACTCTACTGATCCACTTCAGTCTACTGATTCAGTTCACTTTACTGAATCACTTTACTGATCCAGTTCAGTATACTGATCCAGTTCACTCTACTGATCCAGTTCACTTTACTGATCCACTTTACTGATCCACTCTACTGATCCACTTCAGTCTACTGATTCAGTTCACTCCACTGATCCAGTTGATTCTACTGATCCACTTCAGTCTACTGATCCACTCTCCTGAATCAGTTCACTCTACTGATCCACTTCAGTCTACTGATTCACTTCAGTCTTCTGATTCAGTTCACTCTACTGAATCACTTTACTGATCCAGTTCACTCTACTGATTCACTTCAGTCTACTGATCCACTCTTCTGAATCAGTTCACTCTACTGATCCACTTCAGTCTATTGATTCAGTTCACTCTACTGAATCAGTTTACTGATCCAGTTCACTCTACTGATCCACTTCAGTCTACTGATCCACTCTACTTAATCAGTTCACTCTACTGATCCACTTCACTCTACTGAATCACTTTACTGATCCACTCTACTTAATCAGTTCACTCTACTGATCCACTTCACTCTACTGAATCACTTTACTGATCCACTTCAGTCTACTTATCCACTCTACTGATCCAGTTCACTCTACGGATCCACTTCAGTCTACTGATTCACTTCAGTCTATTGATTCAGTTCACTCTACTGAATCACTTTACTGATCCAGTTCACTCTACTGATCCACTTCAGTCTACTTATCCACTCTACTGATCCACTTCAGTCTACTTATCCACTCTACTGATCCAGTTCACTCTACTGATCCACTTCAGTCTACTGATTCAGTTCACTTTACTGATCCACTCTACGGATCCACTTCACTCTACTGATCCAGTTGATTCTACTGATCCACTTCAGTCTACTGATCCACTCTTCTGAATCAGTTCACTCTACTGATCCACTTCAGTCTACTGATTCACTTCAGTCTACTGATTCAGTTCACTCTACTGAATCACTTTACTGATCCAGTTCACTCTACTGATCCACTTCAGTCTACTTATCCACTCTACTGATCCAGTTCACTCTACTGATCCACTTCAGTCTACTGATTCAGTTCACTTTACTGAATCACTTTACTGATCCAGTTCAGTATACTGATCCAGTTCACTCTACTGATCCAGTTCACTTTACTGATCCACTTTACTGATCCACTCTACGGATCCACTTCAGTCTACTGATCCAGTTCACTCTACTGATCCACTTCAGTCTTACTGATCCACTCTACTGAATCAGTTCACTCTACTTATCCACTTCAGTCTACTGATTCAGTTCACTCTACTGATCCAGTTGATTCTACAGATTCAGTTCAGTCTACTGATCCAGTTGATTCTACTGATTCAGTTCACTCTACTGATCCAGTTGATTCTACTGATCCACTTCAGTCTACTGATCCACTCTTCTGAATCAGTTCACTCTACTGATCCACTTCAGTCTACTGATTCACTTCAGTCTACTGATTCAGTTCACTCTACTGAATCACTTTACTGATCCACTTCAGTCTACTGATCCACTCTTCTGAATCAGTTCACTCTACTGATCCACTTCAGTCTTACTGATCCACTCTACTGATCCAGTTCACTTTACTGATCCACTCTACGGATCCACTTCAGTCTACTGATTCAGTTCACTCTACTGAATCACTTTACTGATCCAGTTCACTCTACTGATCCACTTTACTGAGCCACTTCAGTCTACTGATCCAGTTCAGTCTACTGATCCAGTTCAGAAATGTAATTGCATTTGATCAGTTCTTTTCCTCAGTTCTTTTCTTTTCACTAATGAGTTCTGGGAATCCACTCGTTCCAAGTCTTGACCACCTTCGGTCTTAAGGGATCATTTTAAGGGTCCCTAGTGTGCTGAGCGTCCATGTCCTCTGTCCTTAGTTTCTTTAGTGTCCATTAATCTATCTCCAGTGTCTTTAGTGTCCATGTCCAACCTGGGATGAAGCTTGTCCTTCTGTCTGTCCTCCAGGTGGTCACACCACAGAGATCCTGCGGCTGATGGACAGCCTGTCCTCTGTCTACACACCTCGGCATTACGTCATCGCTGACACCGATAGGATGAGTGAGGACAAAATAGTGTCCTTTGAGAGCTCCAGAGGACGTGCCCCGTCTGACCTCCAGGTACATGCCTCCCATCCTGTCCACATCACATCAGGACATTCTGGTTTAGACCAGATCCATGCAAACAGAACCAGAACAGCAAGTCAGGCACCCCAACAGATCCACAGCTCATCAGTGTCCACCTGTCCTCTAGAGATGGTCCTGTCCAACCAACTCAACCGAGTTTGTAATCAAGTTCCGCTGGAGTTCAGTCAGAAGACGGTAAAGACAGTTCTGACCCTGCTTTGTCCTTCAGAGGAGCTCCAGCGGATAATTCTGCAGGGTTCAGCACTGCTTCTACCGCTAACGGAGTCTGTAAGGCAAGCAGCTGCAGGGACGAGCAGCGAGGACACCTAGAGCCAGTTAGCTCCCGCAATGCTAAATACAAAAACAGCAGCCATTGTATTTCCTGTCTGTCACCTAATGTCAGAACCTCTGGCTGTAGCTACGTCCTGCACCGTGCAGGACGCTAGTTTGTAGCTCTGAGCGACGGTCTGTTGGTTTGCACCCGAAACCAAAACATGCAGCGCTGCGGCCAGTCTTTGGGGAACACTCACGGGGGAACTGTGTGGCTTCCGGCGTTAGATGAAGGGTTGTGGATGGCGAACAAACTCATTAAACCGACACACAGACCCACAATCCTAGCCAGTTCCTGGTTGTCCTTGTTGTGTTGTGGCGTGGAATAACATGGCGCAGACCATGCTTTAAGAGTCTGGGCATCAATCAAAAATATCTGCGTCATTCCTGCAACAAGCTAACTGCCACACACTGCTGCAGGAGGATAACCAGTCCTTACTGCTGCTTCTGGGTTCATCAAAGGGTAAAAAGTGAGAGAAGGTCTCAGAGAATGGATCACGATCAGAACACAGCAGACAACATCTCTGCTATCGACTTGTTGGTCTGAGCTGCTTAACTTGGAACAGAACAGACAGGTTTAATCTAGAACCTCTTCTGTGGTAGAACCTCATTGCTTCTGCCAAAGATCCTCACTGTTCTATCACAGAGCCTCACCGTTCTCCCGTAGAACCTCCCCGTTCTCCCGTAGAGCCTCACCGTTCTCCCGTAGAGCCTCCCCGTTCTCCCGTAGAGCCTCCCCGTTCCCCCGTAGAGCCTCCCCGTTCTCCCGTAGAGCCTCCCCGTTCTCCCGTAGAGCTTCCCCGTTCCCCCGTAGAGCCTCCCCGTTCTCCCGTAGAACCTCCCCGTTCCCCCGTAGAGCCTCCCCGTTCTCCCGTAGAGCCTCCCCGTTCCCATGTAGAGCCTCCCCGTTCCCATGTAGAGCCTCCCCGTTCCCATGTAGAGCCTCCCCGTTCCCATGTAGAGCCTCCCCGTTCCCATGTAGAGCCTCCCCGTTCTCCCGTAGAACCTCCCCGTTCTCCCGTAGAGCCTCACCGTTCTCCCGTAGAGCCTCCCCGTTCTCCCGTAGAGCCTCCCCGTTCCCCCGTAGAGCCTCCCCGTTCTCCCGTAGAGCCTCCCCGTTCTCCCGTAGAGCTTCCCCGTTCCCCCGTAGAGCCTCCCCGTTCTCCCGTAGAGCCTCCCCGTTCCCATGTAGAGCCTCCCCGTTCCCATATAGAGCCTCCCCGTTCCCCCGTAGAGCCTCCCCGTTCTCCCGTAGAGCCTCCCCGTTCTCCCGTAGAGCCTCCCCGTTCTCCCGTAGAGCCTCCCCGTTCTCCCGTAGAGCCTCCCCGTTCCCATATAGAGCCTCCCCGTTCCCCCGTAGAGCCTCCCCGTTCTCCCGTAGAGCCTCCCCGTTCCCATGTAGAGCCTCCCCGTTCCCATGTAGAGCCTCCCCGTTCCCCCGTAGAGCCTCCCCGTTCTCCCGTAGAGCCTCCCCGTTCCCATGTAGAGCCTCCCCGTTCCCATGTAGAGCCTCCCCGTTCCCATGTAGAGCCTCCCCGTTCCCATGTAGAGCCTCCCCGTTCCCCCGTAGAGCCTCCCCGTTCTCCCGTAGAGCCTCCCCGTTCCCCCGTAGAGCTTTCCCGTTCCCCCGTAGAGCCTCCCCGTTCTCCCGTAGAGCCTCCCCGTTCCCCCGTAGAGCTTCCCCGTTCTCCCGTAGAGCCTCCCCGTTCTCCCGTAGAGCCTCCCCGTTCCCATGTAGAGCCTCCCCGTTCCCATGTAGAGCCTCCCCGTTCCCCCGTAGAGCCTCCCCGTTCTCCCGTAGAGCCTCCCCGTTCCCCCGTAGAGCCTCCCCGTTCCCCCGTAGAGCCTCCCCGTTCCCCCGTAGAGCCTCCCCGTTCCCCCGTAGAGCCTCCCCGTTCCCCCGTAGAGCCTCCCCGTTCCCCCGTAGAGCCTCCCCGTTCTCCCGTAGAGCCTCCCCGTTCTCCCGTAGAGCCTCCCCGTTCTCCCGTTGAGCCTCCCCGTTCTCCCGTAGAGCCTCCCCGTTCTCCCGTAGAGCCTCCCCGTTCTCCCGTTGAGCCTCCCCGTTCTCCCGTAGAGCCTCCCCGTTCTCCCGTAGAGCCTCCCCGTTCTCCCGTAGAGCCTCCCCGTTCTCCCGTAGAGCCTCCCCGTTCTCCCGTTGAGCCTCCCCGTTCCCCCGTTGAGCCTCCCCGTTCCCCCGTAGAGCCTCCCCGTTCCCCCGTAGAGCCTCCCCGTTCCCCCGTAGAGCCTCCCCGTTCCCCCGTTGAGCCTCCCCGTTCTCCCGTTGAGCCTCCCCGTTCTCCCGTTGAGCCTCCCCGTTCTCCTGCAGGGTTCAGATCATACCAGAAGTTCTGGAAGTCCATTCTAAAGGTCGGCATCCTTCTCAGGCACAGCCCTAGAACACTGAGCTGATTCCAACCCAGCCGGACCTTTAGATCAGTAACAGAACCATTCCCAAAGCGTTCTGGTTTTGCCTTCCAGTTCTCCATTCATCGGGTCCCGAGGAGCCGCGAGGTCCACCAGTCCTGGAGCTCCTCTGCTGTCAGCACCCTGAACGCTCTGAGGTTCTGCCTCCCTTTGGTGTTTCGACTCAGACCCGATATGGTGAGTAGCAGCGGTACACCTCCTTGATTACTAACAGTAGAAAGGAATTGTTCTGTCTCCGGGGACCAAATGAGGCATAGAACCGAACGGGTAGACCACACCAGAAGCTTAGACCAGGAACCAGTTGGTTTCACCTGATTCCAGGGAATAGGGGAGGGTCTACGAATCGTTGCATTTACCGTCACCCTAATGTGAGATTCCAGAATCCCTGCAGTGTGTTCATAGCGGAGCAGACGGGTCAAACTGGGTTAGAACCAGTCTGAGGAGACCAGCATGTCCCAGTGTGGTAAGGTGATCGGCCCCTCCTCTCTGTGCTTTTCCAGGTCCTGTGTAACGGCCCAGGAACCTGCGTTCCTCTGTGTGGAGCGGCTCTGCTGCTGGGAATCCTGGGAGTGAAAAAAGTCCACATCGTCTACGTGGAGAGCATCTGTCGAGTGCAGACGCTGTCCCTGACTGGAAGGATCCTCTACCGCCTGGCTGACTTCTTCTTTGTGCAGTGGTCCTATCTGAGGGACAAATACCCCAATGCCATTTTCCTGGGAAGACTGGTCTGACCTGGACTTGGACTGGACTAGTTTAACAGAACCTGGACTCATTTAATCTAATTTCCTATTAAAACATGAACTATGATCTTCTGTGTCTGAGTTCTGGTCAAGTTGTCCTGGTACCCTGGTTCCTACAGACCGCCTGGTTGTGCCTGTCTTCACTGTCCTCTGCCAAGGGGGCGGTGAGACAGCGCTGCCTTCACTGTCCTCTGCCAAGGGGGCGGTGAGACAGCGCTGCCTTCACTGTCCTCTGCCAACGAGGCGGTGAGACAGCGCTGCCTTCACTGTCCTCTGCCAAGGAGGCGGTGAGACAGCGCTGCCTTCACTGTCCTCTGCCAAGGAGGCGGTGAGACAGCGCTGCCTTCACTGTCCTCTGCCAAGGAGGCGGTGAGACAGCGCTGCCTTCACTGTCCTCTGCCAACGAGGCGGTGAGACAGCGCTGCCTTCACTGTCCTCTGCCAAGGGGGCGGTGAGACAGCGCTGCCTTCACTGTCCTCTGCCAAGGGGGCGGTGAGACAGCGCTGCCTTCACTGTCCTCTGCCAAGAGGGCGGTGAGACAGCGCTGCCTTCACTGTCCTCTGCCAAGTGGGCGGTGAGACAGCGCTGCCTTCACTGTCCTCTGCCAAGTGGGCGGTGAGACAGCGCTGCCTTCACTGTCCTCTGCCAAGTGGGCGGTGAGACGGCGCTGCCTTCACTGTCCTCTGCCAAGGGGGCGGTGAGACGGCGCTGCCTTCACTGTCCTCTGCCAAGGGGGCGGTGAGACGGCGTGTCCTCTGCCAAGGGGGCGGCGAGACGGCGCTGCCTTCACTGGCCTCTGCCAAGGGGGCGGTGAGACGGCGCTGTCTTCACTGGCCTCTGTCTTTGATTTGATTTTCTCTAAAAGTCTGCTAGTTAATGACTTGATTTGTGATAATCACATTGACTTGTGTTGCCTTACAGAAACCTGGCTGCAGCAAGAGGATTATGTGAGCATAAATGAGGCAACTCCTTCAAGCTATTTAAATTTTCACATCCCCAGAAGTTTTTGATCCAAAAATCAAAACTTTTTGATTTTTCAGTGTCAAATCTTTTCTGACCCATTTAGCCAGAGGAAAGGAAGTGGCCTAATAATGAAGCATACCTTATACGGTGTTGATGTCATCAGGCCACACCCCTTCTCATTACAGAGATGCACACCTCCTGATTTACTTAATTGGTAGTCGGCTTTCAAGCTTATACAGTTTGGAGTAGGACAACGTATGAAAATGTGGTCGAAATACTCATTTGCCTAATAATTCTGCACTAAAGCAGTAAAGCAGTAAACTACTTTTCCAGTCTAGGAGCTGCGTTATCTAAGGCAATACGCAGAGAACTAGCAACCCCATCCACAAAATCATCAACCTGTGAGTGGGAATAAGCTATGCTTTTGCACTCTGTAGCACTGCTCAGCGACACAGAGGAGAGAGAAAGTGAAGCAGATTCTTTAAAATGTATAACTGCTCTATCTGATAAAGATCTACTAAAATGTAACCTTCTTTTGGGGGAGGAGAACTCTGTTAAAGTAATCCTGAAGGTTATTAGAAAGTGGTCAGAGAGGACAGGGTTGTGAGGAAATACTGTTATTTCTTCACATTCTATGCCGTATGTCAGGTGTGTGTCCCTGGTTGCCAGCCTGGTATTCTACAGGTGTATCCCTGGTTGCCAGCCTGGTATTCTACAGGTGTGTCCCTGGTTGCCAGCCTGGTATTCTACAGGTGTGTCCCTGGTTGCCAGCCTGGTATTCTACAGGTGTATCCCTGGTTGCCAGCCTGGTATTCTACAGGTGTATCCCTGGTTGCCAGCCTGGTATTCTACAGGTGTATCCCTGGTTGCCAGCCTGGTATTCTACAGGTGTATCCCTGGTTGCCAGCCTGGTATTCTACAGGTGTATCCCTGGTTGCCAGCCTGGTATTCTACAGGTGTATCCCTGGTTGCCACCCTGGTATTCTACAGGTGTGTCCCAGTCAGCAGTCTGGTTGCCAGCCTGGTATTCTACAGGTGTGTCCCTGGTTGCCAGCCTGGTATTCTACAGGTGTATCCCTGGTTGCCAGCCTGGTATTCTACAGGTGTATCCCTGGTTGCCAGCCTGGTATTCTACAGGTGTATCCCTGGTTGCCAGCCTGGTATTCTACAGGTGTATCCCTGGTTGCCAGCCTGGTATTCTACAGGTGTATCCCTGGTTGCCAGCCTGGTATTCTACAGGTGTATCCCTGGTTGCCAGCCTGGTATTCTACAGGTGTGTCCCTGGTTGCCAGCCTGGTATTCTACAGGTGTGTCCCTGGTTGCCAGCCTGGTATTCTACAGGTGTATCCCTGGTTGCCAGCCTGGTATTCTACAGGTGTATCCCTGGTTGCCAGCCTGGTATTCTACAGGTGTATCCCTGGTTGCCAGCCTGGTATTCTACAGGTGTATCCCTGGTTGCCAGCCTGGTATTCTACAGGTGTGTCCCTGGTTGCCAGCCTGGTATTCTACAGGTGTATCCCTGGTTGCCAGCCTGGTATTCTACAGGTGTATCCCTGGTTGCCAGCCTGGTATTCTACAGGTGTGTCCCTGGTTGCCAGCCTGGTATTCTACAGGTGTGTCCCTGGTTGCCAGCCTGGTATTCTACAGGTGTATCCCTGGTTGCCAGCCTGGTATTCTACAGGTGTGTGTCCCTGGTTGCCAGCCTGGTATTCTACAGGTGTATCCCTGGTTGCCAGCCTGGTATTCTACAGGTGTATCCCTGGTTGCCAGCCTGGTATTCTACAGGTGTATCCCTGGTTGCCAGCCTGGTATTCTACAGGTGTATCCCTGGTTGCCAGCCTGGTATTCTACAGGTGTATCCCTGGTTGCCACCCTGGTATTCTACAGGTGTGTCCCAGTCAGCAGTCTGGTTGCCAGCCTGGTATTCTACAGGTGTGTCCCTGGTTGCCAGCCTGGTATTCTACAGGTGTATCCCTGGTTGCCAGCCTGGTATTCTACAGGTGTATCCCTGGTTGCCAGCCTGGTATTCTACAGGTGTATCCCTGGTTGCCAGCCTGGTATTCTACAGGTGTATCCCTGGTTGCCAGCCTGGTATTCTACAGGTGTGTCCCTGGTTGCCAGCCTGGTATTCTACAGGTGTGTCCCTGGTTGCCAGCCTGGTATTCTACAGGTGTGTCCCTGGTTGCCAGCCTGGTATTCTACAGGTGTATCCCTGGTTGCCAGCCTGGTATTCTACAGGTGTATCCCTGGTTGCCAGCCTGGTATTCTACAGGTGTATCCCTGGTTGCCAGCCTGGTATTCTACAGGTGTATCCCTGGTTGCCAGCCTGGTATTCTACAGGTGTGTCCCTGGTTGCCAGCCTGGTATTCTACAGGTGTATCCCTGGTTGCCAGCCTGGTATTCTACAGGTGTGTCCCTGGTTGCCAGCCTGGTATTCTACAGGTGTGTCCCTGGTTGCCAGCCTGGTATTCTACAGGTGTGTCCCTGGTTGCCAGCCTGGTATTCTACAGGTGTATCCCTGGTTGCCAGCCTGGTATTCTACAGGTGTGTGTCCCTGGTTGCCAGCCTGGTATTCTACAGGTGTATCCCTGGTTGCCAGCCTGGTATTCTACAGGTGTATCCCTGGTTGCCAGCCTGGTATTCTACAGGTGTATCCCTGGTTGCCAGCCTGGTATTCTACAGGTGTGTCCCTGGTTGCCAGCCTGGTATTCTACAGGTCTATCCCTGGTTGCCAGCCTGGTATTCTACAGGTGTATCCCTGGTTGCCAGCCTGGTATTCTACAGGTGTATCCCTGGTTGCCAGCCTGGTATTCTACAGGTGTGTCCCTGGTTGCCAGCCTGGTATTCTACAGGTGTGTCCCTGGTTGCCAGCCTGGTATTCTACAGGTGTATCCCTGGTTGCCAGCCTGGTATTCTACAGGTGTATCCCTGGTTGCCAGCCTGGTATTCTACAGGTGTGTCCCTGGTTGCCAGCCTGGTATTCTACAGGTGTGTCCCTGGTTGCCAGCCTGGTATTCTACAGGTGTGTCCCAGTCAGCAGTCTGGTTGCCAGCCTGATATTCTACAGTCCTTCATGGTTATAAATGAGGCGGTTCTACTGAAAGTTCTGGAACATCCAGCAGAACTCAAAGCTCACTGGTTCCACTGGGTTCAGTCTGCAGGAGGAACTGGGTCCAACAATGTCTGCAGCCAGGAGAGGACAGCAGCGGCGAGGCTGGGCGCCTGGCTGCAGCGTGACGTCAGCGCGTTTTCCTGACGTGCTGTCTGCCAGCTCTGCGCTCTGCTTTGTTCCCTGTGCGCTGGCGGAGCGAGCTTCCCTCTGGATCCGGGAGCAGCAGCAGAAGATGAGCCACTTCAACAAGGGACCAGCCTACGGCCTGTCTGCGGAGGTCCGGAGCAAAGTAAGTGCTGCCAGAACTTTGTTTGCAGGCAGGGATCCGCTCTGGAAAAACTTTCTGCCGAAACTCTCCGAACTCCACAAGTTCGGGTCTGGAGCTGATTCTCTCCAGAACGTTCCGTTTGGATCAGAACCTGGAGCTCCATGACGCAATGCGCCGTCCTGCTCCTGGGGCGCAGGAGTCCAGGGGGACCGGACCGGACCGGAACTGAGACCGCTCCTCACGGTCTCGCATCCAGTCTGCTTCTATAGAACTGAACATTAGGGAGGGTGGGGGGTGAAACCCAGAGGTTCTGCTAGAACCGGCTGGGACTGGGTCAGCGTGTGAGTGGAGAGGAGGTCCGGAAGAACCCAGACCAGGTTCTGTGTGAAGGCAGTCCAGAACCTCAGAAGGTTCTTATCTGGGCTCAGCAGAACCAGAACCAGCAGACTGATCATAAATCCAGAATCTATATGGAACAAGAACCATGCTGGAGGTCCGGTTATCTGCTGGTTCTGGTTCCTGAGCTTCTATTGCAGCAGAACCTCCTGCTGGTCCTCATAGAGTGAATCTCTATAACAGAGGTTCACTCTATGTGATCAACCTCTATAAATGAAGTTTACTCAATGTGATGAACCTCTATAACAGGTCCACTCTGTGATGAACCTCTAGAATAGAGGTTCACTCTATGTGATGAATCTCTATAAATGAGGTTCACTCTGTGATGAACCTCTATAACAGGTTTACTCTATGTGATGAACCTCTATAAAACATGGTTCACTCTATGTGATGAATCTCTATAAATGAGGTTCACTCTGTGATGAACCTCTATAAAACATGGTTCACTCTATGTGATCAACCTCTTTAAATGAAGTTCGCTCTATGTGATGAATCTCTATAAATGAGGTTCACTCTATGTGATGAACCTCTATAAAACATGGTTCACTCTATGTGATCAACCTCTTTAAATGAAGTTCGCTCTATGTGATGAATCTCTATAAATGAGGTTCACTCTATGGGATGAATCTCTATAAATGAGGTTCACTCTATGGGATGAATCTCTATAAATGAGGTTCACTCTATGTGATGAATCTCTATAAATGAGGTTCACTCTGTGATGAACCTCTATAACAGGTTTACTCTATGTGATGAACCTCTATAAAACATGGTTCACTCTATGTGATGAATCTCTATAAATGAGGTTCACTCTGTGATGAACCTCTATAAAACATGGTTCACTCTATGTGATCAACCTCTTTAAATGAAGTTCGCTCTATGTGATGAATCTCTATAAATGAGGTTCACTCTATGGGATGAATCTCTATAAATGAGGTTCACTCTATGGGATGAATCTCTATAAATGAGGTTCACTCTGTGATGAACCTCTATAACAGGTTTACTCTATGTGATGAACCTCTATAAAAGATGGTTCACTCTATGTGATGAATCTCTATAAATGAGGTTCACTCTGTGATGAACCTCTATAAAACATGGTTCACTCTATGTGATGAATCTCTATAAATGAGGTTCACTCTATGGGATGAATCTCTATAAATGAGGTTCACTCTATGGGATGAATCTCTATAAATGAGGTTCACTCTGTGATGAACCTCTATAACAGGTTTACTCTATGTGATGAACCTCTATAAAAGATGGTTCACTCTATGTGATCAACCTCTTTAAATGAAGTTCGCTCTATGTGATGGATCTAGAAAACAGAGGTTTACTCTATGTGATGAATCTCTATAAATGAGGTTCACACTGTGATGAACCTCTATAACAAGTTTACTCTATGTGATGAACCTCTATAAAACATGGTTCACTCTATGTGATCAACCAATTTAAATGAAGTTCACTCTATGTGATAAATCTCTATAAATGAAGTTCACTCTATGTGATGAATCTAGAGAACAGAGGTTTACTCTATGTGGTGAACCTCTATAACAGGTCCACTCTGTGATGAACCTCTAGAATAGAGGTTCACTCTATGTGATGAACATCTATAAATGAGGTCCACTCTGTGATGAACCTCTAGAATAGAGGTTCACTCTATGTGATGAATCTCTATAAATGAGGTTCACACTGTGATGAACCTCTATAAAACATGGTTCACTCTATGTGATCAACCTCTTTAAATGAAGTTCACTCTATGTGATGAATCTCTAAAAATGAGGTTCACTCTATGGGATGAATCTCTATAAATGAGGTTCACTCTATGTGATGAATCTCTATAAATGAGGTTCACTCTGTGATGAACCTCTATAAAACATGGTTCACTCTATGTGATCAACCTCTTTAAATGAAGTTCGCTCTATGTGATGAATCTCTATAAATGAGGTTCACTCTATGGGATGAATCTCTATAAATGAGGTTCACTCTGTGATGAACCTCTATAACAGGTTTACTCTATGTGATGAACCTCTATAAAAGATGGTTCACTCTATGTGATCAACCTCTTTAAATGAAGTTCGCTCTATGTGATGGATCTAGAAAACAGAGGTTTACTCTATGTGATGAATCTCTATAAATGAGGTTCACACTGTGATGAACCTCTATAACAGGTTTACTCTATGTGATGAACCTCTATAAAAGATGGTTCACTCTATGTGATCAACCTCTTTAAATGAAGTTCGCTCTATGTGATGGATCTAGAAAACAGAGGTTTACTCTATGTGATGAACCTCTATAAAACATGGTTCACTATGTGATGAATCTCTATAAATGAAGTTCACTCTATGTGATGAATCTCTATAAATGAGGTTCACTCTATGTGATGAATCTCTATAAATGAGGTTCACTCGGTGATGAACCTCTATAACAGGTTCACTCTATGTGATGAACCTCTATAACATAGGTTCACTCTATGTGATGAATCTCTATAACAGAGGTTCACTCTATGTGATGAATCTCTATAACAGAGGTTCACTCTGTGATGAATCTCTATAACAGAAGTTCACTCTATGTGATGAATCTCTATAACAGAAGTTCACTCTATGTGATGAATCTCTATAACAGAAGTTCACTCTATGTGATGAATCTCTATAACAGAGGTTCACTCTGTGATGAACCTCTATAAATGAGGTTCACTCTATGTGATGAACCTCTAGAACACAGGTTCAGTCTATGTGATGAACCTCTAGAACAGAGGTTCAGTCTATGTGATGAATCTCTATAACAGAGGTTCACTCTATGTGATGAATCTCTATAACAGAGGTTCACTCTATGTGATGAACCTCTATAAATGAGGTTCAGTCTATGTGATGAACCTCTAGAACAGAGGTTCAGTCTATGTGATGAACCTCTATAAATGAGGTTCACTCTATGTGATGAACCTCTAGAACAGAGGTCAGGTTGGGGTTGGGCCTCTGTGAGAAACCTCTACCAGTTCAGCTCCCAGTGCTCCCAGTGGGTCAGTGACTTGGAGTCCAGTCACACCAGTAGTCAGGTCATCCTATGTGATGAATCTCTATAAATGAGGTTCACTCTGTGATGAACCTCTATAATAGGTTCACTCTATGTGATGAACCTCTATAACAGAGGTTCACTCTATGTGATGAATCTCTAGAACAGAGGTTCATTCTATGTGATGAACCTCTATAAATGAGGTTCACTCTATGTGATGAACCTCTAGAACAGAGGTTCAGTCTATTTGATGAACCTCTAGAACAGAGGTTCACTCTATTTGATGAACCTCTAGAACAGAGGTTCACTCTATGTGATGAACCTCTAGAACAGAGGTTCAGTCTATTTGATGAACCTCTAGAACAGAGGTTCACTCTATTTGATGAACCTCTAGAACAGAGGTTCACTCTATTTGATGAACCTCTAGAACAGAGGTTCACTCTATGTGATGAACCTCTAGAACAGAGGTCAGGTTGGGGTTGGGCCTCTGTGAGAAACCTCTACCAGTTCAGCTCCCAGTGCTCCCAGTGGGTCAGTGACTTGGAGTCCAGTCACACCAGTAGTCAGGTCATCCTCCTAGAGGCTCGGCCCAGAGTTCTTCCTCGTTTTTTTTTTAGGAGTTTTTTCCCCGGGTTGCTGTTGGTGTTAACCACCGTTTGGGGTTTTTTGGAGGGAAAACCCCTTTACAAAAAAAGCCCGGCCCGTATGGAGGGGGTTTGTGGAAACCCCCACGGAACTGGAAAGAGAAAGGGGTTTTTTTCGGGTGGGCCCCCATGGGGGGAACTGTTTATTGAGCCCCCCTTTTTGTGACCAAACCGGGGGGCCCCTTTGGGAAATCGAAAAAGGGGTTTTGGCTGGGGGGTTTTTCCCCCCCGGTGTTGGGGCCCCAGAAAGAATCCCGGGTTTTGGGGGGAAAAGAAGCCCTCCAAAATTCCGGCCTAAAAGGCCCCCGGTTTGTTGGCCCCTTCCCTTTTTCCCCCTTGCCAAAATTTACCCCCAGAAAAGGATGGTTTGGATTGGGGGAGGTGAAGGGGTGGATGGAGAGAATTGAAAAATTGAAGGGGGGGGGTATTTGGGAAATTTTTTTAGTTTTGAAATGTGGTAGTGGAGTTTGGAAAAATTTTAAAATATTTATTTAAAAAATTATATATATATTTTTAATTATATATATATTTAAAATATAATATTATATATATTATATTTTTTAAAAATTTTTATTAAATTAATTAAAAATTTTTTTTTTTTTTATATTAAAAATATTATATTATAATTATATATATATATTTAATTTAAAAATTTTTTTAAATATTATATATTATATAATTATTTTATATATTATTTATATTAATATATATATTAATTTAAAATTATTAAAATATATTAAAAATTAATATTTTTATATATAAAATATTATTTATTTTAAAAATTTTATATGGTATTATTATATTTTTTTAAAATTAATTTTTATGGTGGGGTTTTTTTTTATGGTTTTTTTTTATAAAATTATTAAAAATTTTTTGTATGGTGGAGGGGGAGGGGGGATGGATGGATGGGTTTGGTGGATGGTGATGGAAAAAATTTTATGGATGGATGGTGGATGGGGTGAAAAGGATGGAGATGGATGGATGGATGGTGATTGATGGTTTGGGGGGGTTTTAGGTGGATGAGGTGATTTTGATGGATGGTTTTAAAAATGATGGTTTTTGGTGGGGGTGAGGGGGGAATATTGGGGGTTTTTATTTTGTTGGTAGATGGGAAGATGGTGGATATTAAAGATATTTATGATGGTGGGAAAAAGGTAGGGGAAAAGGGTTTTTTTTTTATTATATTTTTTATTATTTTTTTTTTTTTTGGTATGGAATTTTAAAAATTATATGGGATTTTTAATTTTTATTTAAAATATGATGGGTGGATAAATTTAATTAATTTGGGTTTTATATTTTTTTAATATAATTTATTTTTTTAGGATATTTTTTATATTTTTTTTTTATTTTTTATATATATTTAAAATTTAAATTTGGGAAATTATATTTTTTTTTTATATTATATATATATAAATTTTGGGGGTATAAATATATTTTATATATTTTTTTAATATTAAAAATATATTATAAAATATTTTATATGGATGGTAAAAATTTTTTTGGATTTTAATGGGAATATTTATATATAATATGGATGGGTTGAGGGTGATGGATGGATGGATGGGTGGATTGATGATGGTGATGGATTGATGGATGGATGGTTTGGGGGTGGATTAAAAAGGGGTGATGGATGGATTATGGGGTGGAGGAGGTTGATGGGGGATGGATGGGGTGGGGGTTGGATGATGAGGATGATGGGGGGGGGATGGATGGATGGATGGATGGATGAGGTGGATGATGGAGGATTGATGGTGGGTGATGGGAAAGGGGTTGGGTGGAGATTTGGGGGAAGGGTGGATGGATGATGGGGTGGGTTTATGGATTATATTTGGGGGGATTTGGATATTGGGGGGGGGTTGGGATATGATATATATTAAAATTTGGTAATTTTAAAAATTTTGTGGATATATATATATTGATTATGTATTTTTTAGGATAAAAATATATATATATTATATGGAATTTGTATATAAATTATATATATTAATATGGATATTTTGGATTTTTTGGGGGAAAAAAATTATATTTATATTATATATTATATTTAAAATATTTAAATTAATAATATTTTTATGGGGAAATTATTTTTTGGGGGTTTTTAAGGAATTTTTGGGGGGAAAATTTTTAATTTATATATTTAAGGGAAATTATATATTTTTTGGGAAAGGGATATAAAATATTTTATTATATATAAAATTTTTTTATATATTATTTTATTTAATTTATTTTATATTTATTATTTAAAAATTTCATTTTATTTAAAATTTTATTTATTTATTTCTTTATTATATTAAAATTTATAATTTTATTTTTTATTATATTATTTATTTTAAATTTTTTTTTTTAAAAAAATTTTATATATTTTTTTATTTTAAAAAAATTATATTTAAAAAAATTATTTTTATTTTAAATATTATTTTTTTATTATATATATATATTTTTTTAAAAATTTTTTTATTTTTAAAATATTTTTTATTATTAAATTAAAATTTAAGTTTTTTAAATATTTTTATTTTAATTTTTTTTTTTTATATTTTTTATTTTTTAGGGGGTTATATATATATATAGGATTTAAAGGGGTATGGATTTGATAATTATAATATATTAAATTATAATTAGGAAAATTTTTTAAAATATTTTGGATATAATTTATATTATATGTATATTATATTTTTTGGGGGGGATTTTGGGGGGGTTTTAAAAATATATGGTTTATTTATATATTATATGATGGGTTATATTATTTTTAATTATATATATATATATAAAATATAAAAAATATGGGATTTTTGGGGGTATTGGGATATATATTATATATATATATATTATATGGTATATATTAATGATTTATATATTAATTAAAAATTTTTTAAAGGGGTATTTAATATATTATTATATATATATAAATTTTTTTATATGGGGGGAAAAATATTAAAATTATTAATTATGGAATTATTGTTTTTGATATTAAAATATATTTTATGGTATTTTTTTTTATGGGATTTATTAATTAAAAATATATATTTTAAAAATTATTTATATATTATATATTGGGTTATATATATATATATTATATATATATATTTTATATATTATTATTATATTTTATTAGATTTAAAAATTATATATTTGGATATAAATTATGGGTTTTTTTGGGGGATATTTTTTGGGGGAAAATTTGGGGTTTTAAAAGGGAAAATTTAAATATTTAAAAAATGTTAAAAAAATTATAATAAATTGAAATAGGATAATTAAGAGGAGTGAGGGGGGTTTGGGTTGGGTTTTTTTTGAATTTGGGTTGGGGAGGAGGAATTTAAGGGGGGAAGAAAATTATAAAAGGGAAAATTTTGGGGTAGATGGGGGTTTATATATATAGGGGAAAGGATAAAATTTATGGATTATTTTTAGGGGGGTTTTTTGGAAAGGATGGATTTTGGGGGGATGGGGGAGGTTTTGGGGGGGGGAAAAGTTTGGAGGTGATGGAGTGGATGGAGGATGGGGTGGGAGGGGGTTTATATGGAATTTTTGGGGGAGGGTGGGTTTGGTGGAGAAGGAAGGGGTTTTTTGGCCCTGAGGCTTTCCCCAGTTAAAAGGGGGAACCAAGGGGGTTTATTTTCGTTTTTAAAAATCAAACCCCTTGGGGCTTGGGGCGGCCGCCATTATCTTTTGAAACAACGGGAAGGGGGGGGGGGGTTAGGGGGCGGGGGTTTAAAAACCAAAAGTTTTTAAAAAAAAAAAAAGTAAAATTTTTTTTAAAACCGGAGTCCTTTCTTGGGGAAGTAATTTTGAAAAAAAACAAATTTTTTTTCCTAAACCCATTGTTTTAAGTTTTAATAGCTTCTACAAATTGGTTTGTTCTTTGGGGCCCGTGGTTAAAGGTTTTTTTTAAGGGGGGCCCAAAAATTAAGCCTTATAGGGGGCCCATAAAAAACCCGATAAGGCTTTTTTCGAGGGGAAAATTTTTCCCCCTTAAGGCCCGGGAAAGGGGGGGGGGTCATTGGGTAAAACGGAAAGGTAGTAGGGGTTTCTAGGCCTTCATTTTCCCTTTTCCGAACCCCAGAAAGGTTTTTTCCCCCCGCCTCCCCAGAAAAACAAAACTAGGGGGGGGACAAGCAACCCCGAAAAATCAGTTGGCAGAAAATTTTTTTACCCGTTAACTCCTTAAAACCGGGTTAAAATAGATTTTTAAAGGGCGATTAAAATGGAAAAAAACCCCCCTTAGCAAAAAAAAAAAAAAGAAAGGGGCCGGGCTGGGCCCCAGAAAACCCCTTTTGGGGAAAAAAACTTTTTTAAGCCTTAAAAACCCCCAAAAAAGCCTTCAGATTAAAAGGCCCCAAATTTAATCTTAATTAAAAACCCCCAATTAAGGGCTTTTACAAAGCCTTCAGATTAAAGGCCTCCAGATTAAAGGCCTCAGATTAAAGGCCTTCACATTAAAAGTCTTCAGACTTAAAACCCTCAGATTAAAGGCCTTTAGATCGAAAGCCTTCAGATTAAAGGCCTCCAGATTAAAGGCCTCAGATTAAAGGCCTTCACATTAAAAGTCTTCAGACTTAAAACCCTCAGATTAAAGGCCTCCAGATTAAAGGCCTTCAGACTAAAGGCCTCCAGATTAAAGGCCTTCAGACTAAAGGCCTCCAGATTAAAGGCCTTCAGACTAAAGGCCTCCAGATTAAAGGCATTCAGACTAAAGAGCCTTCAGACTAAAGGCATTCAGACTAAAGAGCCTTCAGATTAAAGGCCTTCAGACTAAAGGCCTCCAGATTAAATGCCTTCAGATTAAAACCCTCAGATTAAAGGCCTTCAGATTAAAGGCCTTCAGACTAAAGGCCTCCAGATTAAATGCCTTCAGATTAAAACCCTCAGATTAAATGCCTTCAGATTAAAGGCCTCCAGATTAAAGGCCTTCAGACTAAAGGCCTCCAGATTAAATGCCTTCAGATTAAAACCCTCAGATTAAAGGCCTTCAGACTAAAGGCCCTTCAGACTAAAGAGCCTTCAGACTAAAGGCCTCCAGATTAAATGCCTTCAGATTAAAGGCCTCCAGATTAAAGGCATTCAGACTAAAGGCCTCCAGATTAAAGGCCTTCAGACTAAAGGCCTCCAGATTAAAGGCATTCAGATTAAAGGCCTCCAGATTAAAGGCATTCAGACTAAAGGCCTCCAGATTAAAGGCCTTCAGACTAAAGGCCTCCAGATTAAAGGCATTCAGACTAAAGGCCTCCAGATTAAAGGCCTTCAGACTAAAGGCCTCCAGATTAAAGGCATTCAGATTAAAGGCCTCCAGATTAAATGCCTTCAGATTAAAGGCCTCCAGATTAAAGGCATTCAGACTAAAGGCCTCCAGATTAAAGGCATTCAGACTAAAGGCCTCCAGATTAAAGGCCTTCAGACTAAAGGCCTCCAGATTAAATGCCTTCAGATTAAAACCCTCAGATTAAATGCCTTCAGATTAAAGGCCTCCAGATTAAAGGCATTCAGACTAAAGGCCTCCAGATTAAATGCCTTCAGATTAAAACCCTCAGATTAAAGGTCTTCAGATTAAAAGCCTTCAGACTAAAGGACCTTCAGATTAAAAGCCTTCAGACTAAAGGCCTCCAGATTAAATGCCTTCAGATTAAAACCCTCAGATTAAATGCCTTCAGATTAAAGGCCTCCAGATTAAAGGCATTCAGACTAAAGGCCTCCAGATTAAATGCCTTCAGATTAAAACCCTCAGATTAAAGGCCTTCAGATTAAAAGCCTTCAGACTAAAGGACCTTCAGATTAAAAGCCTTCAGACTAAAGGCCTCCAGATTAAATGCCTTCAGATTAAAACCCTCAGATTAAAGGCCTTCAGACTAAAGGCCCTTCAGACTAAAGAGCCTTCAGACTAAAGGCCTCCAGATTAAATGCCTTCAGATTAAAGGCCTCCAGATTAAAGGCATTCAGACTAAAGGCCTCCAGATTAAAGGCCTTCAGACTAAAGGCCTCCAGATTAAAGGCATTCAGATTAAAGGCCTCCAGATTAAAGGCATTCAGACTAAAGGCCTCCAGATTAAAGGCATTCAGACTAAAGGCCTCCAGATTAAAGGCCTTCAGACTAAAGGCCTCCAGATTAAAGGCATTCAGACTAAAGGCCTCCAGATTAAAGGCCTTCAGACTAAAGGCCTCCAGATTAAAGGCATTCAGATTAAAGGCCTCCAGATTAAAGGCATTCAGACTAAAGGCCTCCAGATTAAAGGCCTTCAGACTAAAGGCCTCCAGATTAAAGGCATTCAGATTAAAGGCCTCCAGATTAAAGGCATTCAGACTAAAGGCCTCCAGATTAAAGGCCTTCAGACTAAAGGCCTCCAGATTAAATGCCTTCAGATTAAAGGCCTCCAGATTAAAGGCATTCAGACTAAAGGCCTCCAGATTAAAGGCATTCAGACTAAAGGCCTCCAGATTAAAGGCCTTCAGACTAAAGGCCTCCAGATTAAATGCCTTCAGATTAAAACCCTCAGATTAAATGCCTTCAGATTAAAGGCCTCCAGATTAAAGGCATTCAGACTAAAGGCCTCCAGATTAAATGCCTTCAGATTAAAACCCTCAGATTAAAGGTCTTCAGATTAAAAGCCTTCAGACTAAAGGACCTTCAGATTAAAAGCCTTCAGACTAAAGGCCTCCAGATTAAATGCCTTCAGATTAAAACCCTCAGATTAAATGCCTTCAGATTAAAGGCCTCCAGATTAAAGGCATTCAGACTAAAGGCCTCCAGATTAAATGCCTTCAGATTAAAACCCTCAGATTAAAGGCCTTCAGATTAAAAGCCTTCAGACTAAAGGACCTTCAGATTAAAAGCCTTCAGACTAAAGGCCTCCAGATTAAATGCCTTCAGATTAAAGGCCTCCAGATTAAATGCCTTCAGATTAAAGGCCTTCAGACTAAAGGCCCTTCAGATTAAAAGCCTTCAGACTAAAGGCCTCCAGATTAAATGCCTTCAGATTAAAAGTCGTCAGATTGTAGGCCACTCTGGTACCCTAAAGATTGGCCAGTTGAGATGAAGAGAGGGTGTAAGTGAGGTGAGGGTGAAGCAGGAGTCAGGCCCCGCCCACCCACTGCGTCTGCTGGCCATCCTCCTGGTCGGTCTGCCACCATCACACAGGTCTCAGTGATGGAACAGGCTGCATTACCAACAGCTTATTCTGTCTGAGTCTCTGCAGCTGGGTGCTGAAGGGTTGTCCTCTACAGGGAGGATGTGTGATCCGGTTCTCCTACAGGAAGCGGTTCTGGTTCAGTCTACAGAACAGTCCCTGAATCTCTCCTGTTTTATCCAGGCTGATCAATAAGCTCCAGCCCGGCTCAGTGAAGAAAATCAACCACTCCCAGCTGAACTGGCACAAGGTAAGCCCACCTGGGAGTCTTCTCCTCCCTGCCAAAGCCTCCAGAAGCACTGACCCATGTCTGTCTGCAGCTGGAGAACCTGGGGAATTTTATCAAAGCCATTCTGGCCTACGGCCTGAAGCCCAGCGACATCTTCGAGGCCAACGACCTGTTTGAAAACGGGAACATGACTCAAGTGCAGACCACGCTGCTAGCACTGGCCAGCATGGTGAGTCCAGGCCGCACTGAGCAGAACCGCTGCCTAGAAGCGTTGAACTGACGTTGGTCCTGGTTCTCTTCTGTTGGGTCCGTCAGGCCAAGACCAAAGGCTTGGACACAAAGGTTGATATTGGGGTGAAATATGCAGACAAACAAAGACGGCAGTTTGATGAAGAGAAGATCAAGGCTGGACAGTGTGTCATCGGACTGCAGGTAAGGGCTCCTGGTCCTCATGAGTCCTGATGGTAGAGACCTTCAGTCTAGCAACATTCTCTGCCGGGTTGAGTTCAACAGAACCTGTTTCTGCTTTGCGTCCAGATGGGAACAAACAAGTGTGCCAGTCAGGCTGGAATGACGGCGTACGGAACCAGGAGGCATCTGTACGACCCGAAGACTCACAGCGATAAACCGTACGACCAGACCACCATCAGCCTGCAGATGGGCACCAACAAAGGAGCCAGCCAGGTTAAAGCCCGCCTTTCTGTGCACCATACTGACTGCTGTCACCGCATCAGAGACTAGTTAGACCCATACATCACACACAATTAACTCTACGGTTGAAATTCTATTCAGTCTATTTCTAGAGCTCCAAACAGCACCACCTATATCCTCCTTATTCCACGAACAGATCAGCGTGTTTTATTTCTCCTTATTCTATGAATACATATTTAAATAAGCTTCTTCCATCCATTGGAATAAGGTGGATAGATCCAGATAAAACAGATCATCCAGGCAGATTTAAGGTTCAAACCAGCTGATTGCATCCAGTCGCTGAGACTCTTCAGCAATCCCTCTCTCTGAGCATGCTGATGAATTGAGGCATTGTCTGTCTAACTGGATCCTCCTTAACTTGGCTAAAGTTACAGCCGTAAACAGCAGCTGAATGCGCTGACTCAGCGCTCAGCACTGTTTAACCCAGTTAGCTCAGTGTACCTCAAAGGGTAACAGTGGAAGAACATGGTAGCAGTTAATGGTGAAGGATCTGAAATCAATCATCCCACTTTAAGGAGAGTTGCCTTCAAATACCAGGCGAATGCAGCCTGTGACATCACAACAATCTGGACCAGATATAGAGTTAAACCATTGTGGGTCTAGTCAAAGCCCATTTATTAGATAGGAGTGTTAATGATCTTATTTTTAATAAGATCAACCGTATTTATAAAGAATCCCATAATATCATTCCTGCTAAGAGCAGGTGGAATGGACGGTTCAACAGAGCTATGGCTCTGGGTGAGTTTGGGATTAAAAATAAATTAGGATTATTCTCCTCTATTAATGAGGAGAAATATGCTGCTCTTGCTTTATTAAGGGTGCTCTTATACCTATGCAGCCTAGCCTAGCTTCGCCAGCCTCTCACTGCGCATCACATGCTGTTTCCAGCTACGCTAGTCACGAGTCATTTTGACCAGTCAGTGTCCCAAGCTGCTGCAGTAATGACAGGGAGGCCATGTTGTTCCATCAGAACCAGCTAATGTTGCTCCGGTTGAACCTAACGCTGCTTTGTGGTTCCTGACAGGCGGGGATGTCGGCCCCTGGTACCCGTAGGGACATCTTTGACCAGAAGGTGGCGCTGCAGCCGGTCGACAACTCTACCATCTCCCTCCAGATGGGCACCAACAAGGTGGCGTCTCAGAGAGGCATGAGCGTGTACGGTCTGGGCCGGCAGGTCTATGACCCCAAGTACTGCGCCGCACCGACGGAACCGGTGATTCACAAAAACGGCAGCCAGGGCACCGGCACCAACGGCTCAGAAATCAGCGATAGCGACTACCAGGCCGAGTTCCAGGAGGAGGAGTACCACGCCGGTTACCATGACGACTACGACCCCCTCTATAACGAGCCCCACAGTGACTACTAGTGCAGGGCTTCAGGTCTAGAGCAGTATGACGTCATCAGACCTTCGCTGTCCTCACTGGACTTTCTATGAAACTAGACTCTGAGCCGCAGAGCTCCAGTTTTAGTTCTAAGCACGGCAGATAAGTGGTGAAGAGTGATTTTTGAAGGACGTCTTTGATAGAAGCTTTGCTGTCCTGTACGGCATACCTGTAGCGGACCAGTGTTGAGCCTATCAGTGTACCTGTTAAAGTCTGTAGATTTTCACGATCTAGATTCATTCCTTTCTCTGAGTTACGTCTTCCTGATGGACGCGAGGCGCTCATAACCTTTTCTACGTTCTTACCTTCTTTCCTTTTTTAGACCAATCCGTGTTTATTAATAAAATCCTACCTTTCATTAAAGTCTCACCGTGTTTGAATCAGCCTGTCTGCACATTTCCATTCACAGCTAACCCCACTGAGCCACTGGGAAATAGCCTTAAATAACCAAGTCAGTAGTCCCATTTCCACTACCCTTCACAAACTGTGCTGAGGTCGGTGAGGCGCGGTAACCAAGGTAACAGTTGAGTATAAATGGCACATTAAACTGAACTGGGCCGCGCCAGACACAACAACAACAACATGGTACTAGTTCATCATCAGGGCTCGGAGCGGTTCAGTTCTGGCTAGTTTCTCTGATAACAAAGAGCGCATGAGCAGACGCGTCATCTCAGACATTCCTAAAATCCTAGCTTCCCTACCGTACCACACGATTTCCAGAGATGGTTCTGGTTAGCAGTGTGATGAAGCTCAACATCTGTCCTTGTTTCCTGCATCTGGAAGCCCTGATTCACTTCCCGAAAGCCGACTCCGTCAAGTAAACTTCCGCAAACTTCCTGAATGTTACGGGCACCGCCATGTTGGGTTGCTTGATTCCCTCAGTCAATCACTGAGAGCAGTAGTACCGTAGATCGCCACTAGGAGAGGAGAAACCGAGCTAGCGTGGTGTCTAAATGGTATTAAGGAAATGAGCTTGGCACGGATTGGTTTTCAGAGGGTGATGTAAACGGGGCTATGATGTTTGACACCATGTCTGTCTGCACATCTTCTAGTTCTGCAAGTTCCCATTCTGATGGTTTTCCTCAGATCTGCTACACCTTGGTCCAAACAAAGGTGCGGCCTTTACTTCCTGTTCTATAGAAGTACAACAGGAAGTAAATGGTGGCATAAGCTTGGCTAGCGCAAGGCCAGATGGAGCTCCTATAAAGAGAAGAGAAGCTAGATGCTGACATAGCTGATAAACAATAGGAGAATAGAGATAGAATGATGAAAAAGGGGTCCCTATGTCCTCCAGCAGTCTACAGGTGCTGGTCATAAAATTAGAATATCATGAAAAAGTAGATTGATTTCAGTAATTCCATTTAAAAAGTGAAACTTGTATATTATATTCATACATTACATACAAACTCATATATTTCAGATGTTTATTTTGTTTAATTTTGATGATTACAAATGACAACAAATGAAAATCTCAAATTCATCATATCAGAAAATTAGAATATTGTGAAAAGGTTCAAAATTGATGGCCCCTGGTGCCACACTCTAATCAGCTAATTAACTCAAACCACCTGCAAAAGCCTTTAAATGGTCTTTCAGTCTAGTTCTATAGGCTACACAATCATGGGGAAGACTGCTGACTTGACAGTTGTCCAAAAGACGACCATCGACACCTTGCACAAGGAGGGCAAGACACAAAAGGTCATCGCTAAAGAGGCTGGCTGTTCACAGAGCTCAGTGTCCAAGCACATTAATAGAGAGGCGAAGGGAAGGAAAAGATGTGGTCGAAAAAAGTGTACAAGCAAGAGAGATAACCGCACCCTGGAGAGGATTGTGAAACAAAACCCATTCAAAAATGTGGGGGAGATTCACAAAGAGTGGACTGCAGCTGGAGTGAGTGCTTCAAGAACCACCACACACAGACGTATGAAAGACATGGGTTTCTGCTGTCGCATTCCTTGTGTCAAGCCACTCTTGAACCACAGACAGCGTCAGAAGCGTCTTGCCTGGGCTAAAGAGAAACAGGACTGGACTGCTGGTGAGTGGTCCAAAGTCATGTTCTCTGATGAAAGTAAATTTTGCATTTCCTTTGGAAATCAAGGTCCCAGAGTCTGGAGGAAAAGAAGAGAGGCACTTCATCCACGTTGCTTGAAGTCCAGTGTAAAGTTTCCACAGTCAGTGATGGTTTGGGGTGCCATGTCATCTGCTGGTGTTGGTCCATTGTGTTTTCTGAGGTCCAGGGTCAACGCAGCCACATACCAGGAAGTTTTAGAGCACTTCATGCTTCCTGCAGCTGACCAACTTTTTGGAGATGCAGATTTCATTTTCCAACAGGACTTGGCACCTGCACACAGTGCCAAAGCTACCAGTACCTGGTTGAAGGACCATGGTATCCCTGTTCTTAATTGGCCAGCAAACTCTCCTGACCTTAACCCCATAGAAAATCTATGGGGTATTGTGAAGAAGAAGATGCAATACACCAGACCCAACAATTCAGAAGAGCTAAAAGCCACTATTAGAGCAACCTGGGCTATCATAACACCTGAGCAGTGCCACAGACTGATCGACTCCATGCCACGCCGCATTGCTGCAGTAATACAGGCCAAAGGAGGCCCAACTAAATACTGAGTGCTGTACATGCTCATACTTTTCATCTTCATACTTTTCAGTTGGCCAACATTTCTATATATCCTTTGTTTTTATTGGTCTTCAGTAATATTCTAATTTTCTGATATGATGAATTGGAGATTTTCATTTGTTGTCATTTGTAATCATCCAAATTAAACAAAATAAACATCTGAAATATATGAGTTTGTATGTAATGTATGAATATAATATACAAGTTTCACTTTTTAAATGGAATTACTGAAATCAATCTACTTTTTCATGATATTCTAATTTTATGACCAGCACCTGTAAGCCTATAGCAGCAGAACTATAGAGATAGCTCAGGATAACCTGAGCCACTCTAACTAGAAGCTTTATCAAAAAGGAAAGTTTTAAGCCTAGCCTTAAAAGTAGACAGGGTGTCTGCCTCACGGACTAAAACTGGTAGTTGGTTCCACAGGAGAGGAGCCTGAGAACTAAAAGATCTGCCTCCCATTCTACTTTTAGAAATTCTAGGAACCACTAGTAAACCTGCAGATTGAGAGCGAAGTGCTCTGTTAGGAACATAAGGAACAATCAGATCTCTGATATCAGATGGAGCTTGGCCATTTAAGGCTTTATATGTGAGAAGGAGGATTTTAAATTCTATTCTGGATTTAACAGGAAGCCAATGAAGAGAAGCCAGGATAGGAGAGATATGATCTCTCTTTTTCATTTTCATCAGAACTCTGGCTGCAGGACCATGAAAGGCAGGGCTGGATTAGCAGGAACCGTTTTTACATCATCCACTCCGACATCTGGCAGAGCCATGAATGGAGACGCTGCAGCCAGCTGATGGGTTTTCCATGTGTGGCGGTTAGCCAGCATACTGGAAACCAGTGCAGGAACCAGTGAGAGAGCAGCCATGCTGGTTACGTCATGCTGACTGAGCTTGAAAGAGGACACCACATTCCTTCTGTCTTTGTCTGGGTTCCTGATGCCTTCGGTTGGCTGGAAGCTGGAGAGGGAGGGATCATCAACTGCCAGAAAGCAGAGTAACTGGAACCTGCACTGGAACCAGTTTATTACTGGAAGCAGTCAGGCTCATTTCAGCTGGTGCTTATCCTTCTGAAAAACTCATCAAATGGCTCCCAGCTCTGAATGGCTTTCACTGCTGTTACTGTTCTACAGGCCCTATAGAAGGAGAGGGGGGGCTGATGGGCCATTGTTATGTGTGACCAGGGCCCCTTGTTGCCATGGCGATGACTGCAGGTTACAGAGTTATATCAGATGAACCTTTGTCCCTCCAACATCAGGGCTGGTTTGGCTCCACGAGAGCAGAGAACAAAAGTCTCCTTCTAATCGTCAGGATTTGCTGAGGGAGCAGAAAAAGGAGCGATTGTTTAAATTCAGCTAAGAACTGGGAACCTGTTCCAGACTCCAGAGGGAACATGCAGAGCTCCCAGGGACCCGTATGGTTCCGCTTGGTTCAGGAGCTAACGGACGGATCACAGGAGGAATCCAGTCATGAACCTACAGAGGCTCCTCTGATGGCTGACGCCTCATCAGGCTGCAGGGTTTTAGGACCTGAAAACGTCATCAGGTCCTAAAACCTCCTGGAAAGCTTTAAGTCGAGCTTTGAAAATGATTCCCAGTTCATTTCAGAGAAGGAAAATTCAATTCTATTCAGTTTATTTCTATAGCTCCAGTTCCCATCATGTCATCTCAGGTCACTTTCCAGTTCACCAGATCATCCAGTCAGATTGATTCAAAGTTTTCTATCTAAGGAAAACCAGCTGATTGCATCGACTCATTGACTCTTCAGCAATCCCTCACACTAAGCATGCTTGTAGCGACAGTGGAGAGGAAAAACTCCCTTTGAACAGGAAGAAACCTCCAGCAGAACCAGGCTCAGTGTGAGCGGCCATCTGCTGAGGCCCACTGGGGTTCAAGGAGACAGAAAAAAGCCAGAAGGAGTGAAGACAGCCTGACCTGCACCGCTGGGACCGGCGGCCATGTTTGTTTAGTTCTATGCCCAGAAACGCCATCAGGGATCTGCTAAATGATGATGATAATGATGTAAAGGACAAAATGTTACTCCGGTCCTTTGTTGGAACAGAAACATCTTCTCCTTCATGTCATAAAGGAAATCAGACATGCAGCATAAATGGGACGGAAATTAAAATCTTTTAAAAGACCCAAAACATGCTTGATGTGTCAAAATGCTGAATCTTCTCTCAGAAATCTTTATTTTTGTGCTGTTTTCCAATCAACCATCAGTAAACATCAGATGTTATCCCTTTGGTCCTGAAATGGACCTAAATATCTTCACCACCCTGCTACCTGAGCTCTTCTCCTCAGGCTCCTCCCACCACACAGAGCTCCACCAATCAGATGGCTTTGTGCGGCCAACACATCTGGCAAAAAGACATCTCTACCTTCTCTTTGGGGAGTCAGCGGTTGCCTCCATAATTCTATTCTCGTTGTTTCTATGCTCCAATTCCCATCCCATCATCTTAGGTCAGCTTATAGATCCAGATCATCCAGTCAGGTAGATGTTGTGCAATGACACAGATTTGAGCCATAATCAATATGATATCAGATCAGGAAATGGATCTCTAAAGGCCTGAATGACTGTGAGCGGTTCGTCCACCAGGGGGCAGTGTTAGTTTAGAAAGACACCATGGTTCTGATGAGTTCAGTAGTGCAGCTCAGCTGCTATCTAGAAGAACGGATCTGAGTAAACTGTCTGCTTCACTCCATCATTAAGGCTCCAATGTT